GGAGAGAGAGAGAGAGAGAGAGAGAGAGAGAGAGAGAGAGAGAGGAATATGGGACGAGGAGGGGCCCCTCTCCCTCCCCCTCCCTGCACCGTTTCTTTTCTTCGGTGAGCATTGTCGGCCGGTTCGACTCGACTCCCGGCGGATCAAATTCTAACCAGTCCGGCATTATAGCTGCTGTCCTTCGAGCTCTCTCCACCGCCCTCTCCCGCCGCCCTTTTGGTCCCGCGTTAAAGAGAGTCTAGTCATCTCGAGGAGGCATTGTGTTACCGTGGCATGCCACTTGGAACAAAATTCTGGAGAATCTCTCCTGGTGCTTACGCGTACACAGCTTCCTTTGTCGGTTTCGACGAATCTATCCAAGAAAAATGTAAAAAAGAATGTATATATGTAAAAAGAAAAAAAAAAAAAGAAAGAAGAAGAAAAAAAGGAGAGCAACGGAAAGGAGGAACTTTAAACGTATAGAAATATACGATATGGCACCGTGTTTCAAGAGAACGAGCCCGTGTCCCTGGATCGGTTTCGCGTCCGATCAAGCGTCCTCTCGCATACGCTTAACGCGTGATAAACGCGTGCATTGTCTACGGTGGTGTCGGCCACGGCCTTCCACCATTGGACGGTGCCGCCTACGGCAAAGATGGCCGTCTTCTCTATTACGTATAAATGCCTAATAAGAAGAACCGTCGTACAAGTATCTCTACTACTAGGTGGATAGGTTGCCAGAGAGGCAGCTAGCCCCAGCCAGTCTCTCCTCTGGAAGCTCGAACCAAGAGGGGAGGAGGAGGAGGAGGAGAGGTTAGGAAGAAAGCGCGTGTACGCGCTTGCAACGAGGGAAGACACGCCGCGCCGCCTCGTAATGCGCCTTCCTCCTCCTCCCCCTCCCGTCCTCTTCTACCCATCGATTTACATATAACAAGATAAGCGTTTTTATTTGCTTTTGCTTATATAATACATTTTTTCTAAACCGAATCGAGCGACCAGAGGCCGAGGCGAGCCTCGGTCCAGGGGCCGGCCAAGGGGCAAGGTAAGAGGGATCGGGAGGAGGATGAACCGTGAGGAGGACGCTCGAGGACCGGGTATCCTATAGGCCTGTCAGACCTCATTTGCATACATAACATTCTGGTCGACTGGACACCGGTCAGACCTCCTCGCTCCGTCTCGCTTCTGCTCGGTATCCGAGATACAGGATGTCTTCGTTCCTCGCTGCTGGACCGCTTCCACGGCCTCGAGATGCAACCAGCTCTCCTCGCCGGCTTCCTCCATCTTTGTGTATCGATACCAGCGTTCGTATCGGCCTCGCCATCCCGCGCGGCCCTTTTGGTACCCGTTGCTGAAAATACCGGGTGAAACGTTTTACCACGAACGGACGAACGAACGGATCTCTCGATCAAACGAAGTGTCGTTTCGGACGAAAGTCGAATATCGAAAATCTCGTTTCGAATAGGTTGGAATATATGTATAGGGTCGAAACCCATTCGTACGATAATGGACAATTACGATTTTTTAATTCGAACGAGTTGTCTAATTCGAACAATTGTTGTTTTCGCAGGTGCACGAATTGTGCGACAACTTCTGCCACCGGTACATCAGCTGCTTGAAAGGGAAAATGCCTATAGACCTAGTGATCGACGACAGAGAGAGCTCGAAACCGCCCGAGATGGGGAACGGTTTGGACGGTGGCGGGCCGAGGAGCACCGCGGACAGCACCAGCCACACGGACGGAGCCAGCACGCCGGACGTCGTGAGTACCTCACCATCGTCGTCTTATTATCCGCACGACGCGATCACCCCCCACCATCACCACCACCACCATCACCACCATCACCACCAGAGCCAGAATAATAGTAACAGTAATAATAATCACGCCGGTATCGGCAGTGCCGCCACTACCACCCCCTTGCAATTGAGCCAAAACCAAAGCCAAAACCACCACCCTACGCCGCAGTCGAACACCACCACTACTACTGCTATTACCCCAAGTAGCGCCGCCACAACTCCCAACTCCCTAAAGCGTACGCACCAACAGATGATGATGGCAGCCGCGGCGGCATCCGCGATGGCCACCTCGCCGCACGCAGCCGCATCCGCGCCCCCTGCGCACGCGCACGCCGCCCTCGCCGCCTACCACACCATCAGCTCGGCCGTTTATCCGTGCTCGTAATAGACGACGCGACTTCCGTGCCGATACCGCGAGACCTTTTTCTCTCTCTTTATCTTCCCCTCTTCCGTCAAATTCTTCTTCTTCTTTTTCTTCTTCTTCTTTCCATCGTCTTTCCATCGTTTGGCAGAGAAGAACATCCCCTCCCCAATTCTGATCACCCTTCTCTTTCACGATCGCGTTTCTTCGAGGCGATCGACCAAAATGGACGCCTCCAATTTATCCTCCATTCATCCCTTCGCTCGTTCCTTCCAACGATTTGAAGCGAGATATCGTACGGGTGATGAACCGTGCGTCGCGATGGTTCGATCGCGACTGACAGTGGCGCGAACCACCGTGGACGCGCACCGTGGGCGCCCTCTTCGCTCGTCCTCGTGCCTCGAGGTCACGTGTTGTGTGCACGTCCGGATCGAACGTAAGCCGCGAGAAAGATGTGTACCCTGGGTATATAAGTCGCTCGACACGGACGCGTGGACGGAGCTTCCTTCGAGGTCGTTCTCTTTTTTCCTCTTTCTTCTTCTTCTTCTTCTTCTTCTTGAATACTCGTTCTTTTCTTCTTCTTCTTCTTCTTCTTCTTCTTCTTCTTCTTCTTCTTCTTCTTCTTCTTCTCGATCGAATATCTTCGACCAAGTCTCGGCCAAGATCGATCGTGTCTCGGGGGGGGGGGGTTGGCAAGGGTGTCACGAACGGGTGTCTCGGGTGATGCATACGATAAGCCGCGAATTGTTGGACTGGCGCTACTTGTCGGAATTTCCAGTACGTTGCTAGCGAGTTGTACCGCTCCGAGCAATTGACGACGAGTGTTACTCTGTTTGGCACTTGGCTGGCTTTTGAGTTCATTCACGTTACGTTTCTTTTCTTTTCTCTCTCATTTTCTCTCATTCTCTCTCTCTATCCCTTTTTCTTTCTCTATCTTTCTCTATCTAATCTGTTGTTAACCGTTGCTCAAGAGAAAACCGTTGTTCAGATCGGTTCAGATCGACACGTTGTACATATAATTCTCTACACACGATCTCTCGAACGAGGCCTCTCCCTCGTCTTCGATTCGTCTCGAAATCGAGAAATTCTTAAAAAAAAAAGAAAAAGCTTCCGATTTCGCTGCGAGAAATCGGATTATATCCCAAAAATTATCCATCGTTATCCGGATGTGCCCCCCCACCCCACTTCGGAAGTGGTTCGCCACTTGTTTGTTTAGGTTTCGCTTTCGTGGATCATTACGTAAGATCGCGTCGTGGCTGCGAGGAAGAAAACGCTTCTAAATTCGTCCCGAGCCAGAGAGACACAGCCGGCCAGCCACGTCCGATGACATCGATTTTCGGCCGGTGTTCCGCTTTCAAAACACGTCCGGAGGTGTCCAAGCCCCTCCGAGACCGCCTTTTCGAGGTCCAACCAGTCACGATGAGCTATTATAGCCGAACCGGGACCTTATGCAATCGATTCTGCATCTCGTCTTCGTCGTTCTGGGTCGCGCGCTCCCTCCTCCGTACACGCTTCTCCCTTCGGTCTTTATCTCTTCGACGGCATAGCACGTGGTTCGCGTGCTCGAACCGACCACGCTTCGACTCTCTCTCTATTTCTATCTCTATCTAACCCCTTATTCCCTCCCTTTTTTCGAAAAATTTCCTCCTCCTGTTTCTGGAAAAACAGAAAGGTCTCTCGAGGTACGGCACACGGTGCAAGAGAACGTGAAACAAACAAACAACGGGCATTAATCGAGGAGAGAGGAGAACGGCCGCGAATGGCGAGGGCGCACGGTGTGAGAGAAGGAAAAGGAAAAAGAGAGAGGAAAAAAAAAGGATCGTTAGGAACACGCGTTTCGAGGATTCTCGCGAACGAGGCGTTGACTTCTTCTTCTTCTTCTTCTTCTTCTTCTTCTTCTTCTAGAAGGTCACTTAGATTAATAGATTAGCTAGATTAGTTAGATTTCCATTTTAGGTTTTCGCCGTTGCCCGAAGGGTCTGTGCTTTTAAATCGATCGTTCGAGGATACAAGTTTCTTTTTTTTTAAGTCATATACGATATTTTTAACGATATTGACGGGCCTCGAACGAGACTATACGTGGCAGTACATATACGTTTTTAAATATACGTTTTCTTTTATCTTTTCTTAACAAATTTCGACAAATTTTTCTCGCACATTGAGACTGATGATCATTTTTTTTTTATTCACGGGACGGAATAAAAAGCAACGGGGGGAGGGGGAGGGGGATCGCGTTTCTTTCTCATTTTCTTCGTCTTCTTCCGTTCTTTCCTTTGCTTCCCCCTTTCTCGTTTATTCCGCGGGATATCTCGGATCACGCGATCGATAGTATCGCGGGCGGTAGGCGTGTACACGACAGGCGTAATGCCGTCTACGCGGCGTCTGCCTTCCGGATAGCCTGCGTCCAGGCGTGATGGAAGGTCGTGTCGTGGATGGACCGCGTCGAAAGGGGAAGAAAGATGAAAAAAGAAAAAAAAAGGGCGCGAAAACGGAGAGGAGGAAAAGAGAGTAGGGAGAGAGAGAGCGTGTGCGAGAGAGAGAGAGAGAGAGAGAGAGAGAGAAGGAGGAGGTGTGGACGGAGGAGGAGAG